CAAGACTAAACCTGCTCCAGCTCCAAAGGCTGAGCCAGAACCCAAGATTAAGCCTGCTCCAGCTCCAAAGGCTGAACCTGAAGTGACACCAGTGGAGCCTCCATCCAAAGGTAATTCTGTTCTGGTTGTATGTTTTCAGGTCCGATTGTGTCTCTTCTTGAAACATAAACTGTGTTCAGCTTCACACTTTGAAGCAAATCTTTAGCGGTTCTGAACGGTTGTGTTTGATCTGAAAATGTCTGAATGTCACTTTAAGCCCCCGAAGAGGCTCCAAAGACCAAACCAGGACCAACAGTAACCAAGCCAGTACCTGAAGTCCTCAAACCAAAGGCAGAACCAGAGAAAACAAAACCAGAAGTCCGTAAACTTGAGCCTCCGACCACAAAGCCCGAAGCTTTAGTATCAAAACCTGAACCAGCACCAGTACCAAAGGAACCTGAGAGAAAAGGTACAGAACATCTGCGGCTGGAGTTTTTCTTCATCATCAGACTAACTCCTCTGTCCATGTGTGCCGGGTGCTCTTATGTGTTTGTTCAGTTCATCTAAAAAAGTTCTGCATCCTTTAAATCCAGAAACTGACCCGTCACCGGTTCTGTTGTGTCTCATAAACCTTTAACTTCTTACTCTGAGAGCAGCAGTCATTTCTGCTGGCAGAGCCTACAGCGTAACATCCATGCCATGTTCTTTTAAAGTTCTAGAAGAACCAAAGAAGAGGAAGGAGTTGTCTCCTCCTCCTCCTTCTCCTCCTCCTGTCCCTCAGAAGGTCCAAATTGAAGCAGAAGAACCAAAGAAGAAACCACTTAAAGGTATCTGAAGCTCATGAAACTTAAAAATTAACCTCTTCAACTCTTCTGTGCTTGTTCAGTATCCAACATCTGTTTGACAGTCGTCCTGCGTCCAGTGTCTGTCCAACATCTCTTATATTAGACCAACGTCCATCTCATGCTTATTTAATGCAGATCTGATGTGCTCAACGTCCAACGTCCATCTAGCATCTAATCTGTTTTGTCTGTTATTTTACTTTGATCTAATAACTGTCTAGCATCCGTCTGTCTATCCAATGTCTTTTCAAAGTTTGCCTCTCGTCTGTCTCACATCTGTCTCGTGTCTGCCTCTCGCTTGTCTCGTGTCTGCCTCTCGCTTGTCTCGTGTCTGCCTCTCGTTTGATATTTTTGGTTTTTACCGTCTGGTAGTTGTTTTCATGTTCAGCTGTTGTTGTTTTTCAGGCTCAGAATTTTTTTTAAAGTTTTTAATTTTATTTTAGTCAACTTCGTCTTTCTGACTAACGAGTTCTGACTCTTTCTGCTCGGTTGAGTTCTTTTTATTTTTCCTCTTGAAACCGAGTCCACTGACAGGCTCTTAAATGTTTGTGAAAAAACTTTTTAAAGTTCCCGTGGAAGAAAAAGTCCCGGTGCCTCCACGAGCAGCAAAGAAACCTGAACCCGAAGTCGTTCCTCCCAAAGAAGAACTGGCTCAGAAAGAAAAAGGTACTCTTGTTTCCACGACGTTTCCTCCATAACAAACTAAACCTGCTTCCCTTCATCAAACATCTGATGAGGTTTCTGTAAACCTCATTAAAGAGTCCTCTGGTCCATTTGGACCAAGATCTTTCTGTTCAGAAGACTAATCTCTTGTATCTTGATGAGTAACTCAGCTTTTTTACTTCCTGTCTCTAACGTGTCTCTAGCGTGTCCTTAACGTGTGCGTCAGCACATTCTTCTCTTCTTTAGTCATGTCTTCTGAATGTTTCTGTGTTAAACCCTCTTAAAGCTCTGAAGCCCAAACAGAAACCCCAAGAGTTGCTGGAAAAGGTCCCTCTGAAGGTCTCTGAGGAGGCGGTGGTGTTGGAGACCAAACCTGAGTCTGTACCAGACAGAAAACCTCTGAGGAAACCTGAGGTGAAGGAAAAACCTCCTGAGAAGATCCCAGACGAGGTGGTGACACCTGAGAGAAGGCTGGAGGAAACTCCAAAGGTGGTCATTGCAAAGATTCCAGAAGAACCTCCAGAGAAAGTAGAGGAGAAGGTTCCTTCTCAGGGGAAACTTGATAAGGTTCCTCAGAAGGAGACTGAAGAGAAGAAGCCACCTGAAAAGGTCAAAGTGAAGCCTGAAGACGTAAAACCTGAACAGGTGAAGAAACAACCAGAGAAGATATCTGTGTCACAAAAGGTTCCTGCTAAAATCCCTGAGAAGGTCCAAGCTAAACGGGCACCAGAAGAACTTGGTCCTAAAGGTACTTCTGACACAAAGCTGCGCTCTTCTTCAGCAACAGTTCTGCAGCACTCTTCATCACTGAGACGAAGAACTGAAGGTTCTGCTTTAGGTGGTGTCGCAGCGACGTGCTGACAGCTTCTCCTGCTCAGTTAAAATCAGTACACAACAAAACATCAGAACCTAAAAGGTTCTGCAGACTTTAAATCCCCATCCTCCACAAAACGTTCTGAGAAGCATCTTAAAGAGAACCCATCTGATGTGACACCATCCATGAGCAGAACCTTTTCATAGTTCTCCAGTGGATCTGAAAAGTGTTGAGCTGTTGCCTCTTCTAACAGTTTCTCTTCTGTTCCTGTCTGAGGTCTTGGTTCTGTCTGTTAACCGTCTAAATGTTCTTCTTCTCACCATCTTGTACTGAAAACTGATTGAATCTTAAAGAAACCCAAGTCCAGAAGATTGAGAAGATTGAGAGGATCAAAGATCAAGAGATCCAACCGTTTGTTCCTGGAGAAGGTACTGAACATCAGCAGAACTAGTTTTCCATCTTTTAACCTTCACCTTTAACACCTGGTGATAACCTGGATCATCATCATCTGATGATAATCTGGATTATCATCTGAACAAATCTGTGCAGTAACCTCTTCTAACGTATGTCTCTGTGTCTCACCTCTTGGCGTCGCCACATGACGCCTCTTCTTCGTCAACTCTTAAAATCAGAAACTCGTCTTGTCCGGACGGAGCAAAGACAAGAAGCTGGGAGGAAACGGGAAGATCATCTCGTTCCACAGGAAGTCCCTCACACCAAGGAGGAGGATGAACGGGATGAAGATCGGGACATCTTAGCTGTAACAGAATCAGAGGAACGAAGGTCTGAGCTCAGAGGACAATCTGTTACCGACTCTTCAACCAGGAAACTTGGAACCGTTTCAAAACCTCCAGAAAAACCAGGTTCAGTCGCTGAAGCTGAACTCGTTAAACCTGCAGCAGAGATCCAAACTTCAGATGCCCCCGAGAAAAAACACAGCAAAGAACCAGAAATAAAAACCACGTCAGCAGAGACAGAACCGGTCCAACCCAGAACCACTCCAATACCTGACGCATCAGTTAGACAGAAACCAGAGAGGAAGGTTCAATCTGATGCAACAGTGGAGGTAGAACGGCACAGAGTTCCTTCAGAAGAGTCGGTAACAGACTTGAAGCTGACGAGACCAAAGAAGACCAGACAGGAGACCGAGTCTGAGCTCCAGACGTCTGCAGATGTTTCTGCTCAGACCTTCAGAAAACCTTCAGCCTCTGTGGAACCAAAGGAAGAGAAGATTTCTACAGTCAGAGGTATCCAGAGAGAAATGTGCGCATCATTTTCATGTTCACCACACTCTGCAGAACCTCAGGTTCTGGTTCTGGTCTTGTGTGTGACACCTTCAGGAACCACCACAGTTTCACCTCCACACATCTTTGCCACATTTTGTTCATTTGTTTTCTTCACGTCACAGACAACTGATTTATTTAATCTTTTTTCAAATGAAAACTCTTTTTTTTACGTCTGTTATTTTTTTATCCTCTTAAAAAAATCTTTTAAAGAAACTGAAGACAAATCTGAGGCGGTCAGAAGTCCTGCAGCTGAAACAAAGCTGAAGAAAGGTAGACCACCTGAACTCTTTGATGTTTATATCCAGTCCTCACGTCTTATTTACCTCCACCTGTCTGTTTGTCTTGTTCCCTCTAATCTCTTGGCACCGCCTCGTGGTGCTTCTTCTTCAAAACTTTAAATCTTTCTCTGCTCCTTTACCGGACGAACCAAAAGGATCCTGGACTGAAAGAGACGCGACGAGAGAAGAAACTGACCCTAAACCTGTTGTGGCTCACAAAGACCGTGAAAGACCGGCTGAAGGTTCTGAAACTATCAAACAAATTGCCGTTACTGACGGTTTAAAGACATCCGGCTCCAAAATTAGATTTATCCCTGAAACTGACCAAAATGTTGTCAGGACAGGAAGTAAAAAACAGAAAATAATTCAGGAGGATAAAACTAAATCTGACAAGTTTCCCAAACAGAAAACTGTCTCTAAACATATTAAAGAAGTTCAGACTCCTAAAGCCAGAGCTGTAACATCAGTCAGACCCGGTTCTGATCCACAGCAGGAAGTTTCAGACATTATCAGACAGAGAGGAAAAGGTGACCCGGAATCATCAGGGAGGGAAACTGATTCGTTCTTTATGACAGACAGAAAGCTTTCAGACAAACCTGAAGAAAATGATTCTTCAGAGGTTAGAACAGTTGAGGACGTTTCTTCTGAAGCTGTGAAAGTTCAAACTAAAGAAACGGATGAAAAACCGATGAAGATCAGGACTGAAAGACTGAGGCAGCAGACAGGCGATGAAGACGAGGCAGAGCTTCAGAACCAAAACGTTAGAGTTGGTTCAAACAAAAAAAGTAAAGTTTCTGCTTCAGCTTTAAAAGGTAAAGTTCAGGCTTCTCCTGAAAAAAACCACCAGGTTCCTGATTCTGGTTCTTCAGCTGCTCCTGCAGAAACACGTGATTTAGGGAATGTTTCTCTGCAGGAATCGATTTTTATAAAAACTAAAGAGGCTGCAGACACAGAAACCATCGTGCGTCGGGATAAAACTCAGACTGAAGACGACCAAAGAGACGGTTTTAAAGAACTGATCTCAGAACGTCATGGAGAAACATCTGACGCCTCTTCAGAGGCAGCTGGGCTTGAACTAACAGAGACCGGCTTCATTAGAGACAAAAGTTTCTCTGTTTCTCCTCTAAAACAGGAGAAGGCTAAAACAAAAGTTTATGTTACAAACACAAAGAAAGAAAGTCCTGAAAAACTGTCAAACATCAGAAGAACTGAAGTTTCAACCACTGAAGGTCAAATTAACAAGCCAGAAGCAGCTCCAGAGAGAACGTTTTTAAAAACTGAAGGTGTTGATGACAAACAGGAAGCTTTAAAACCTGTTTCAGTTCAGGAAAGAACTGACCAAATCAACGTCATTAAAGACGACAAACTGAAGAAACTGGTCCTCAAACATCCAGCAGCTCGTCAGGAAACTGTAAAAACTGGAACAAACAAACTGATCAACATCAGCAGAGTCAAAAACAAAACATCTAAAGTTTCTACTCCTGAAGAGATGAAACCAGAACCAGTCCAAAGAAACATTTCAGGTAAATCCATTGAGGAAGGTTTAACTTCTAAAGAAGATGCAACACAACAAATCAGGTCAAAAACCACCGTATTTCAAAATCAAACTCAAACTGTGGCTGAGGTCAGAGATGAGAAGCTGAAACGACAGAATAAAGTTTCAGTTAAAGTCATGAAGGAGGAAACTTCTACAGAAGAACCAGCAGGAACCACAAGACCTGAATCTAAACTCAAAGACTCTCTAACAGAAGAGCATGAGTTCTCCAGACCCAAACCAGACAAGAAAACTCAACCAAAGGTAGTCACAGTTAAAGATACATCTCAAACAGACAGAACCAGAGATGGAACACCAGAACTAGAGCTTCAATCCAGAGTCTCAACTGTTCCTGTTGTTACGTTTGATGTTCAAAAGTCTTGGCTGGAGAAAGAAACTCAAAAAAAGTTTCACAGAAACCAAAAGGTGGTCCAGCCTGAAGGCAGCACCTCACCTGGAGGAACACTGATGAAGACGGCAGACACTGGAGATCTGACACAAGAACTTCATTTCCCCAAAGTCCAGCTTACAGACAGAGAACATCTGACTGAGGAGACAGAAACTAAACGAGAACCAGAGAAGAAGGTGGAAGTTGATGCTTCAAGGGAAGGACCACTGATGAAGATGAAGAAGTTTCAGAAGTTACCAAAGTCAGAAGAACCACCAGAACAGATTCGGTCCTCTGAAGTCCTTGTTTTAGACAGACGAGATCTAACTAAAGAGACTGAAACTGAACAGGAACCAGAGAAGATACTGGGCACTGATGCTTCAAAGGAAGGAACACAAGTCAAGATGAAGAGGCTTCAGAAGTTACCAAATAAGAAACATCTGAAAGAACTTCAGTCACTCAAAGTCCATCTTAAAGACAGAGAACATCTGACAGAGGGGACAGAAACCAAACCAGAAGCAGAGAAGATGGTGTATGTTGATACTTCAACGAAACAAACAATGATGAACTTACCAAAAACTGAAGATTTGAGAGATGAGGTTAATTTACCCAAAGTTCTGGTAACAGCTGGAGAACGTCTAACTAAAGAGACAGAAACTGAACCAGAACCAGAGAAGATACTGGACGTTGATTCTTCAAAGGAAGGACCACTGTTTAAGAGGTTTCAGAAATTACTGAAGACTGAAGAACCACTAGAAGAACTTAAATTCCTTCAAACCCAGGTTCCATGCAGAGAACGTCTCATTCAGGAGACAGAACCCAAACAGAAACCAGAGAAGATACTGTACAGTGATGCTTCAAAGAAAACTGGACCGGATGATGAACCAGTTCCACATAAAACAAACAGGCATCATGAAGACAAAGGATTCAGAGCTGAAGAAGTCCAGCAGATCAGAGATATCAGTCAGTCTGAAGGCCGTCAGTCAGAAGATAGTTTTACAAAAACCACAGATTTTCAATCAAAGAAAGATCAAGTTTCTCCTCCTGAGCAGAAGAAGGAACGAGTTAGACATGAGATCAATGTAGAATATGAGAAAACAGACAGAAGTAACAAGGTCAGAGAAACCAGGGAGGAACCTGAGAAGTTCTCATCATCTGTAGGACCAACGAGGCCAGAACAACAGCAATTATCCACTGAAGACATCCAAAACCAAGACGGTGAAGATAAAAAAGTCAGCATTGTCAAAGAAACAGATTTAAAACCTCCTGGAGGAGGATTGATCTCAAACTCCAAACAAATCGCAGATAAACAAACTAAAACCAAAGACAAAACAGGGAAACATCAGAGCAAAGTGATGGACAGAACCAGAACTCCTCCATGTGAGGAGAGAAACATTCAACAGGAACAACTTGAAACAGAACCGATCCTTCTAACAAGAAATGACTTTACAGAACCAAACATGGCAAAGGAGAAGGGTTCCTTCAAGGTGGGTGATGACCTGAAGAAAAATCCAGAAGCAGCTGAGCAGATGAAGGTTGTTCCAGTAAAGAAATCAAAACCTCTCAGAGAAAAAGACCACAGGTTGGAGAAAAGTTCAAAACTGACAGCAGAGCCGTCCAGCTCCATGGTTCTAAAACATGAATATGGAAATGTTTTTCCATTTGATGGAGCCAAAGCACAACAGGAACAGAAGTTTTCTGTGGCTCCGGTGATGGAGGTGACTTCTGAAAGATCTCAGGTGGTCTTAGAAAAAGAACCAGGAACACTTAAGTTTCAGAAAGATTTCAAACCTCCTCAACAGGAGGTTCAGTCAAAGACTGGAACTGTCAAAGATGAACATGGTCGCGTTTCTCTATTTGGACCAGAACAGGAACAGGAACAACATGAGAGGAGTTCAGCTGGTGCTGTGATGGAGGTGTCTTCTGAGAAACATCTCCTGACCAGAGTTTATCAATCTGACAGTCGTCAGAGATTTATGGTTCCAGACAAACTAATGGCCGAAGCTGACAAAACAGGAAGTAAAACGTATAAATCAGTAAAACTAGAGTCTGCTGACAGAGAGGTAAGGCTATCAGAAGAGGATAGTCTGTTAGCAGGGGTCAAAGGTCAGTTAAAAACTGAAAACTTCTCATTTATTGAGGAAGAAATACAAACAGGAAGTCCAACTAAGAAAACAACATGTGTGAAAGTTAAATTCAGGGAACAGGAATCAGACAGAGGGCAGGTTGAAGGTATAAATACCCACACGGTTCCTCCAGATGTATTCTCAACGCAGCAGCAAACAGATGAAACGGCTTCGGAAACATCTGGAACAGCTGCAAAACTTAAAATCCTATCGGCTACAAACAGGGAACATCTTTCAGATACCCCCCAGAGATCTGATCCTCCTTATGGTCCGATCAAATGGGTCACGCCAAGAAACAAGACCATTTATAAAAACACAGATGATAAAAAAGAAAAAATATATCGGGTTCAAGATAATAAAATAAAGAGCGAGACAAAGTTTGACTCACTGCTGTGTGAGAGAGTCACAGTAAAAACTGATGCAGCAGAAGAAGCAGAAACCAAACCCATATTGAGCAGAACTACAGAATCATCTGTACCTGAAGTTATCTTTAAAGACGAAGATAAAAGACAAGAACTTTATATCACCACAGATGGTCTCACAGTCCTATTAACCCCGGACATTAGAGCTCTAATGTCTGCTAACGTCACAGAGAAAGAGCGATCGGTAATCACACCAAGAATAGGCTATCAGAACCAATATCCACCCAAGGAAATATTTGAGCCTTCAGTAACAGAGCCTTCAGTATTAGAGTCTTCAGAAACAGAGCCTTCAGTATTAGAGACTTCAGTATTAGAGTCTTCAGTATTAGAGTCTTCAGTACCAGAGCCTTCAGTACCAGAGCCTTCAGTAACGGAGCCTTCAGTATTAGTGACTTCAGTATTAGAGTCTTCAGTAGTAGAGTCTTCAGTACCAGAGTCTTCAGTAACAGAGCCTTCAGTATTAGAGACTTCAGTATCAGAGCCTTCAGAAACAGAGCCTTCAGTACCAGAGCTTTCAGAAACAGAGCCTTCAGTAGTGGAACCTTCAGTAACAGAGCCTTCAGTAAGAGAGCCTTCAGTACTAGAGCCTTCAGAAACAGAGCCTTCAGTATTAGGGCCTTTGTTACCAGAGCGTTTAGTAACAGAACTTTCAGTACTAGAGCATTCAGAACCAGAGCCTTCAGAAACAGAGCCTTCAGTAACAGAGCCTTCAGCATCAGAACCTTCAGTAACAGAGCTTTCAATTACAGAGCATTTAGTAACAACATTTTCATTATCAGAGCCTTCAGCATTAGAACATTCAGTATCAGAGCCTTCAGTAACAGACCATTCTGTATCAGAGCCAGCATCAGACCCTTCAGTAACAGATCCTTTAATTACAGAACATCCAGTTACAGAGCTTTCAATTACTGATCATTCAGTAACAGAACTTTCACTATCAGAGCCTTCAATAACAAAGCCTTTCATAACAGAGCCTTCAGCAACAGAGCCTTCAGTAACAGAATATTCAATATCAGAGCCTTCATTAACAGAGCCTTCAGTATCAGATCCTTCAGTAACAAAACATTCAGTAGCAGAGCCTTCAGTATCAGAGCCTTCAGTAGCAGAGACTTTAGTAACAAAGCATTCAGTACCAGAGCCTTCAGTATCAGATCCTTCAGTAACAAAACATTCAGTACCAGAGCCTTCAGTTTCAGAGACTTTAGTAACAAAACATTCAGTAACAGAGCCTTCAGTATCAGAGACTTTAGTAACACAACATTCAATAACAGAGCCTTCAGTATCAGATCCTTCAGTAACACAACATTCAGTAACAGAGCCTTCAGTATCAGAGACTTTAGTAACAAAACATTCAATAACAGAGCCTTTTGTATCAGAGCCTTCAGTATCCGATTCTTCAGTAACAAAACATTCAGTAACAGAGCCTTTAGTATCAGAGTCTTTAGTATCAGACCCTTCAGTAACAAAGCATTCAGTGACAGAACCTTTAGTATCAGAGCCTTCAGTATCAGAGCCTTCAGTATCAGAGCCTTCAGTAACAAAACATTCAGTGACAGAGCCTTTAGTATCAGAGACTTCAGTATCAGAGACTTCAGTAACAAAA